GCGGCTGGTCTCAAAAAGGACAAAAAAAAAAAAAAAAAAGAAAAAGAAATTGAGAATGAAACCAAAAAGAAGAAGTAGTCAATAATAGCAAGGAATTACTCAGGTATAGAGTGAATTAGATGAAATAGGGGATGGTGTAGGGGTGGGTGTGAATGGTAGAAAGTAAGTTATAACAGTCCTTGGAGAGCCTGCACTTACATCTAAGAAACATGAGGAGAAGAATGAGAGGAGGAGAGATAGGAGCCCATGTCTCAAATATAAACCTTCCCCCAATAATCCTTTGGTTTCTCAGAACACTGAAGTTATTCGTCCAATGTTAGCATTCTACTGCCCTAGCATGAAGGTGAGGATTTTGCCCACCAATACTATTTCATCATTATCATCATCATATTCTTCAAGACGAATCTCCTAAGTCCAGAGAACCTTGGTCTGAAATCCTCAGAAACTCGTTCTACAAACTGTAGCCTGCTGAGACTCTCTGAAGGAGCAAAGTGCTAATGGCCCTCTTTTGGAAAGAGGTGAATTTCCTCATCGAATGCAGGCTCTTTCATGATTTGGTTATAGCAGTGTTAACATGTGTGCATTAGTATCAATAGTATTTGTAACTGTTAAAACTATAAGAGGCCATTGTTTTGGACTAAGTTTCTGCATTAGCCCCCCACAGACCAGACTAAAAATAAAAATGGAGTCACCCCAGCTAAAGTTCCACATTGCCAAACCCAAACTAAGTTGTCATCTGACCTTCTGAGAAACTAGGAAAGAGAAATAACTCCCAGTTTCCTAAATAGGCCAGTTTAAATCTTCAATAGGAAGTGAAGTTCCCTCTGCTTTAATCCTTACACAAAAAGGCTAGCCTAAAGTAACCTGATGTTAAATAATCAGTTATTTTTCTATTTTCTGTCCCTGTCCCCACCTTACAAGGAAAGTGACTTTGAAATGAACAGTCCGCTGTTTGTTCTTTGTTTCTTCTTTTTTCCAGTCCTTTTTATGTCTATAAAGTCAACCTCTTTTGCTCAGTTCATTGAACAGTTATTCTGTTTTATGGAATAAAGCGTTGCCTGATTGTAGAATTGCAGTAAAGCCGAGGGAGGACAGAACAGGGACATGCCCTAGGGAGGCTACCCATAAATATTCAGACTCAGCAATAACTGCCTCCTTGCCTGGCAGTTAATGAACCCATAATGAGCTGATGACAGCTTAACCACCCTACCAATCAGCATGCTACACCTGGAACTTTGCAGATTACAAAACCTGCCACACCCGCACACTAGAAGGAACAAAAGTGCAGACAACCACTATATGACCTTCCACCTGTGATATAAAACCGGAAAGGACAAAGTTAAGGGAAGAGTGACTACACTGCGCATGACCAAAAAACTTCAGAAACTCAGGGATGCATGACAGGAAGCTGATGTAAACTCACATCTCATCTGCCTGTTAGGCATTAATTACCCTAGATCCTCCCCCACAGACAAATATTCCTCACCTTAGTTAGGATAAAGAAACACCCCCATCCCAGAACAACATATAAGTTTTCCCCTTAAGAATCTGCAGGGCATTCCTCCTTTGCAGAGATGCCTGCGCCTCTTTCTGCATGTACTTTCGCTTTACAATTAAGTCCTATTTTTGGAATGTTCCATCAGCCTGTTCCCCTCTTCCTTTTCTTTCGCTTGATCCTGTGCAAGATTTTTCTTCACAGTTTGACCAAGAACCTGGAACTGCCATCTTTTAAACAAAGGCAACTAAGATCTTTAAACTAAATGTGTTGTAATTTTTTCCTTTGATATAACTAACATCCCTATATTGAACCCATAAGGTCAAAGGCTCAACTTGTAAAGCAGTGTAGAAGAAGAATATGGGATTCATGATTAGAGGCCTACCTGTGCCTTGTTCTCTGTTCCACCATTTCCCCATCTCTGAAATAAGGAAAAATCTTTCTTCCTCACAGGTTTGTTTTAATAAGTGCTGAGCAGAAGAGAGAACTAAGAAAAGTTTCTACCATGGAGGAAGTTCCCTGTGTTGATGCCTTTATCTTATGGACACATACCCTACCTCATTAAACAAAATCCCCTGTGATGGTATAAAATTTTTAGATCTGGGTTTCATCTGTAAAGCTTTGCAATTCACAGTGTGATTTAATGTACATTAATTGCCCTCAGGAAACTCCTACAGCAGAATGTAAATGAGCTACAAAGTCAAGTGAGAACCTTACAGGATAAAGAGAACCAAATGAAAATGACCAGTTCTCAGCAACAGTCCAGAATTCAGCACCAAGAGACCCTACTTAAAGAACTGGAAAATGAAAAAAGAAAATCCGATGAGGTAAGAAAGTAAATAGATATGCTGCTCAGTTTTTCTGTTCCCATAGACCTGAGTAATAGCTAATTATTATTGAGTGCCTAGCACTTTTAAGTTTAGTTAGGGTTCAGTCAGGAAAGCAGAAGCTACTCCAGGTCTTTCAAGTAAGAAGGGATTTGGAAGGGGGGCAGGAGGAGAGTAGAAGTTCAGAAAGAACTGTTGCTGGCTTTCAATAAATCCAGAGATTCAGAAATCACAGAGGAGCCACCTCCTGCAGCAGCAAAGTGGAGAATTTGCAGGAACTCTCCCTGAAACCCCTACAAATGTCTCATCTACTGTCTGCCCATTTATCTACCTGCTAGAGGAGAACTGTAAGGAAAACAAAACCAAACAAAACCGTTTTTTTTGTCTCTGTACTCACACTACTCTCAATACTTCACTTCCAACATTGGTTGTGTGGGTTTTTCCAGGCAGTTCTCCAATTCTCTGTGGACACCAACTAGGTGTACAAAAATTTAACTCAATTCTGATGCTATCTACCTGGAGATAGTATCAGATCCCACAAGTTAAGGGCTCAGTCCCACAAGACGGCCCTCACTTCAGATGCCAGTTGCAGGTCTAGGTTTTTGCTTGTGTTTCTTACCAGCTATGTATCAGCAGTTCTCACAGCACTGTCCTCAGGTTTGATCATTTGTTCAAATGACTAACAAGACTTAGGAAAACAGTTTATTTTCTAGATTACTGGTTAGGAAGAAATGCATAGGACAAGATATGTGGGAGTGGGTGAAGAGCTTCCAAGCCCTCTCTGGGCATACCATGCTCCCAGCACCTCCAATCTAGAAGCTCTCCAAACCCTGTCTTTTGGGGTTTTATGGAGGCCTCATTATTAGACATGAATGATTATATCATTTGCCATTGTTGATTAACTGAACCTTCATCCCCTCTTCCCTTCCAGGAGGTCTGGTTGGAACTGAAAGTTCCAATCCTCAAATCACATAGTTGGTATACTGGCAACCAGGCCACATCCTGAGGCTATCCAGGAACCCCTAGCCATGAATCATCTCATTAGCATACAAAAAGACACTTATCACTTTGGAGACTCCAACAGTTTTAGGAGCAGTATGCCAGAAAACCGGACAAAGACCAAGATATGTATTTCTTATATCACAATATCACAGGAACAATGGCCTTCTTTCCCCTATGCTTTTCAAATTTGTGTCTGAATGCTTCTGATTTGCAGAACCCTGCCAGTAGGGAGTCTAGGAAACGTAGTTTTCAGACTTCCAACCTTGTAGCACAGGGGACAGCTTAGAAAACTGGGAGTCATGCTGAGAACTAGCACAGTCCACTCTGGATACTCAGCATCCACGCAAATGCTTTTACCCATATTTAACCTTCTAAACCACAAAAAGAATATTAAGCTTCCACTTAATAGGATGCACTGTAACTCATATAAATGAAGACACACTTAACCTCTCCATAAAAAGGGAACACTCAAAGTCCCATTAGTATCTGTGCTCATTTTGGGATATTAATTCCTTCTTTTTCAGTCTCAATCCATATGGATATATTATAACATTAAAACTTAATTATAAAGTTAACTACCAGTAATACAAAACACACATTTTGCCTGTGGGATAGTGGCATGAGAAGCCACTCTCACTTTCATCTCTTGGTTCCTTTCCATGTATTCTGGCTATTAGAGAAAGAGCATCATATATTAATCACAGTTAAAAGCTTATACATCCTCTTTTTTTTTTTTTTTTTTTTTTCCTTTTTGTCTTTTTTCGTGACCGGCAACGGATCGCAACCCTCAGCTTCGCGCCCATACCGGACCGGGACCGGCCACGGGATCGCACCCCTCAGTGTTGCTCCCGCCCCTTGCTCAGCCAGTGAGCGGCCGGTCTGTATGTGGGATCCGAACCCTCAGCAGGAGCGCCACCGCGCTTCCCGAGCGGCGCACTATAGCAGTGTGCCACCGGGCCGGCCCTTATACATCCTCTTTTTTTTTTTTTTTTTCTTTTTTTCTTTTTTCGTGACCGGCAACGGATCGCAACCCTCAGCTTCGCGCCCATACCGGACCGGGACCGGCCACGGGATCGCACCCCTCAGTGTTGCTCCCGCCCCTTGCTCAGCCAGTGAGCGGCCGGTCTGTATGTGGGATCCGAACCCTCAGCAGGAGCGCCACCGCGCTTCCCGAGCGGCGCACTATAGCAGTGTGCCACCGGGCCGGCCCTTATACATCCTCTTTTTTTTTTTTTTTTTCTTTTTTTCTTTTTTCGTGACCGGCAACGGATCGCAACCCTCAGTGTTGCTCCCGCCCCTTGCTCAGCCAGTGAGCGGCCGGTCTGTATGTGGGATCCGAACCCTCAGCAGGAGCGCCACCGCGCTTCCCGAGCGGCGCACTATAGCAGTGTGCCACCGGGCCGGCCCTTATACATCCTCTTTTAAGACAGCATTTTAAACCTATAATGTGTGGTCACCAA